GTGTTAGTTTGCTGAGAACGATGGCTTTCAACTATATCCATGTCCCTGCAAAGGAAATGAACTTATTCTTTTTTATGGATGCATAGTACCCCATGGCGTGTATGTAGCATATTTTCCTTGAACAATGAGAACACATATGTGCCATATTTTCTTTATCCAGTCTATCATTGATGGGCATTCGGGTTGGTTCCAAGTCTTTGCTATCTTGAATAGTGCTATAATTGTATGGATTTATAATTTTAAAATAAATATATCTGTACCAGCAACAAAATTATAATTAACAATAAAGGAAACAGGTATTTGTGCAGGGAGCTGTCTCACTATGTGGTATACTCATGAAGTTAAAGATTCTAGTTGATAAAAAACAATATTAAGAGAACATTGATTTGCTTTATTACCGGAAAATATAAGGCCAATAAAATACATACTATTCATCTATAATATCACAAATGTATATTGATAAAGATGGTAATAATAGTAGTAGTAATAATGAACATAAACACATATATATAAAATATATGATATATAAATGTAGAAAAATAGTAAAAATAAAAATATTGGCTAAGACCTTTTGGGAGTACATCACTAAGAATTAAATCAGGAAAATGGAAACCATTCTGTATCTGTGTAAAATACGGTTTACTAAAGAGGTTTATGATAGAGAGTTAGAAGTTTGGGGTGCAGAGGACATGGAAACGCTGCTGAAGTTTGAGGGTGTATCACCAAAAATCAGAGGAGCCGACCCTGAATGTACCAGCCTGCAGCAGGGAGCATGTGTTCTCAAATGCTTGCCTGGAAGCTGCTGCAATTCTTCCATGTCTTTGTGGAGCTCTGACAGCTCTCAGTCAGCAGTGGAGGTTTCCACATTGCTTGGAAGCTACTGTGAATCTCTCATCTGTTCCCACATCTGCCTGCAATCAACTCTGAAGATTAATTTCTTGTGCTTCCCTCTGCTTTCTGAATCTCCTACATATTCCTTTCACTGGGAAACTCTAACCCAGATCATATGGAGATTCTGGTAATTCAGTCCCAGCCTTAGATGTTAGTCCATCACAATAGGCTACATATAGCTCATGCACTTAATGAATGCTTTGCAGTCATTATCTTATTTAATCTCCATGGCAACTGTATGATGTAGCTGCTATTGTTTCTCACATCTAATAGATGGAATATGAAAGTTAAAGTATAAGATGAGTAATTAAAACTCTTGGCTATTAGACTGAGTATGGTGGCTTATGCCTGTAATTACAGCACTTTGGAAGGCCAAGACAGGTGGATAACTAGAGGTTAGAAGTTTTAGACCAGCCTGGCCAACATGGAAAAACCCTATCTCTACTAAAAAATAAAAAAAATAGTTATGCATGGTGGTGCACACCTGGAGCCCAGCTACTCAGGAGGCTGAGGTGGAAGAATTGCCTAAACCTAGTAGGCGGAGGTTGCAGTGAGCTGAGAATGTGCCACTGCACTCTGTCCACAGCCTGGGTGACAGAGAGAGACTGTGTCGCAAAAAAAAAAAAAAAAAAAAAAAAAAAAAAAAAAAAAAAAAAGTGGTTATCAGATTAGTGTCTAATCACTACTGTTTCCTGTTTCTTAAATTGCATGTTGTTTACATTAATTTTATTGAGATGAGTATGAACTAAATCTTCTGTTGGTGACAGTTGCTAATATATTTTGTTTGCAACTTGAATGTCCCCATTTAACTAGCCCGTGAGGACACACAGTATCATATTAAAATTAATACCTACATTTTATCAGTCTCTGAGTACTTACTGTAAAATGTCCACAAACATTTTGTTCCAGGGCACAAGTGCTATTACCACTTCATTATTTTTTAATTTATATGCACTCACAGCCTGAGAAATTGCTATTCTCTCAGAGAATTTCATGTCACAATTCTTGCACTGATGGTAAGAATTGAAGGTGAGCCTCTTCTCTCTCCCTGGAAGTGCCCTTTCCTACTGATGCTCAGCTTCTGTACCTGAAACTGGCTTGATGCTCTAGAATACTTTTTTTTCCTATGGTGAATGATTCCTGCAAAACTTTCTGCAATTGGCTTCTACTCCAAATCAGCATACTAGCTATGCAACTTGATTCTCACCTTTTCAAGTCTATCGGTCCCTCAGGTCTATCTCTGTGGCTCTAAATCATAGTGGTGGAAAGAAATTAATCTTTTAATTGTCATAAGCATCTTGGCAAATCTAATGATTAAAATTTTCATGTTTGGGAAAGGGGTTTCCGTCAAGTTCAAGTGCTCAAAATCACTCAAGTCCAGCAGATGCATGAATTAAGTGAGAAGCAGGGTAATTACTTTTGTAAATACAATCATTTAAAACTAGACTCTTCTCCCACCAAGATACTCAACATATTCTATTGCAAACATCAACTATGATCATTTTCTCATGACTGAACTTTTCTTGTGTCTTTAATCTCATATATTCATTAATAAATACAAATATATCCAAAATAGTTAATAGACTGATACTATTTTAAAATCTTAATAGTGATTACTTGGTTTATTATGACTGTATAATCCATCTTCTAAAGAAAAATGTAGGAATGCTTCAGTTAAAAAAAAAAAAAAAAAAGAAATCCAGACTTGAAAGGTAAATTCGAAAACAAAACAAATCAAAAACAAAACAAAACACATGAGATTTTCAGAGGTGTCAGGAAAGAAATGACTGTGGCTTTAAAATTCTATTACCTGACCTAGTTTTGCTTTACCTGAGTGTCCATATATCTGTGACAATAGTAATTCAGATGTTCTTTCTATTTTCTGGAATTCTTTATAAGTAAAATTAGTTCAAATAAAATATAATACATAAAGAGGTAAAATCCAAAATGTTTTAAATTGCATTCCACAGATGTATAATTGGGATTTATTTGAACTCTGTATTACTTTACAATTACCTTCACAACAGTAGCAGAATGGTCTTTTAAATTTATAATTATAATAATTGAAATATTAAATAGCAGAGATGAATAATACCTGTGACAACCAATTGTTTGCTTACTTGTTTTTTTCAGTATATAGAAAGTATCACATTTGTCTAATAAGTACCTTGCATTATAATGTATTTATGGTGAGAATCATTTGCTCTTTTTCCTTTCAACTCTGTGTTCAAGCTACACGTTCTTTAGATATGCAGAAATATTTAATCCATGACTCTATGATCAACTTGAAATCTTATTTGCAAAATCCATTTAGTCTCTGCCCAGATAAAGCCATGTGTTCCTAGACTTAAAAATGTAAATAATTATCTCTCAGATAATCTGGACACCAGTTTCTTATATAGCATGTCAGAGGACTATATTTTGCTGGACCATAAAAGGTTTAATTGTTATTTATTAGCATAATAAGGGACTTTATTTACTAATATCTACCTGTAGTCAATAAAGCAAGCATTGATTAATTAATTCATTCATTCATCCACTAGGTATTAATTTAGCACCAGCTATGAGCTAGGTAGATTTCTAGGCCCTACAGAGAAAATTGATATCAAAATAAGCAAGTCCTTTTTCAAGTGCTACAGTAGGGGTGGGGGAGGAGACAGATAACAAACACATGAGCAGTTATTAAACAAAATGATTCTGGAGAGTACTAAATGCTGTGAAGAAGTTAAAATGATAAAATAATAAAGACTTCTGAAGATTGGGTTAGGATAAGCCTCTCTTAGAAGGTATCTTTAGAGACTGAAGAATGACAAAGAAACCATCTGACCATGAGAGAACATCATTCAAGAGAAAGAAAACAGACCACCACTAACAACAACAGCAAAAAGATGCACTGGGGAATTTCCAGTAACACTTTTGTTAACTCTCTTAATAGCTGATTTTTTTTTTTTTTTTAGCAGTAGAACCTGAGCTTAAAACAGAATCTGAGCTTAAAACAGCAATGAACAGACTGGAATTCTAGGGTAAAACCAGCAAGATGAAATGTGATTGATACGAATATAAATAGTGCACATAAGTTCCCAAACCCAATTACACATCACAAAATGATATCCACGTGGCTTGACAGCTGTTCATATTCGAACAATCTAGGGATTCCAATGGACCACAAATTGGAGATTGCTCTTTGCTGTTCCTGACTGGAAAAAAAAAAAAAAAAAAGAAAGAAAAAGAAAAAAGAACCCAAACCAATGTGTATATATTACCCTTGGGCAGATTTCAGTCTCATTTAAAGTGTTATTACAGCTATTCAAAATGGAATAGCCTGCTTTGCAGGCAGAGAACTCACCCTACTGCTCAACTCAAAAACAGCAAAAAGAAGGAAGAAGGAAGGACACTCATCAGGACTTTTTGCAAAAAGAAAATTCTATGTTTCTTGGAGACTACTTTAAGACACTTTTTGGTTTCTCTAAGTCTTGTGACTTATTGTTTCTTTAATTTCAAGAAAATTTTCTCCATTTTTGTTATTTTTATGTCATTAATAAGAAAAAATGACATTGATATTTAAGGTAGATGGTAAAGTTTAGCAAAAGTTAAGTTTATTGAGACATCTCTCAAAATAGCAAATTGAAGTTTTAAATTCTTAAGCTATAGTATTAAAAGAATTTAGAATAGCATTAGGAGAAATACCTAATGTGGATGACAGAGAGATGGATGCAGCAAACCACCATGGTACGTGTATACCTATGTAACAAACCTGCACATTCTGCACACGCACCCCACAACTTAAAGTATAAAAAAAATTCTAGAAAGAACTTAGATTAAACTTTTAGTATGTTGTTGGCTAAGTAAAATACAAAATAAAAACAAATATATCTTGGCTTTGCCACATATTAGCTGTGTTAACATGGACAATTTACTTCTCTGCTCTTGTTTCCTCAGAATGAGGATGGTAACTTGTACCTGTCTGAAAAGATTGTTATAAGCATGAAGTTAGTTGCTGTATATAAAGCAGTTATAACAGTGCCTGACTATTAAATGCTAAGTAAGTGTTTGCTATCATTGTTGCTGTTATTATTAGATGTAATGGTACGCTCCTGTTCTGCCTTCAGGAATTAATGACCAAGTTAATAACTGAGACACCTGACCAGCCAATCCCATTTCTCATTGACCATCTTCAGTCTAAACAAGGGAGCCGTGGACAACTTCAAAGAACTTTGTCTGGATCTGCAGCTCTATGGGCAGAAAGCGAAACATCAGGTAAATGAAGAATAGATATGCAGTTAATTTTGGATGCATTTAATGTCAAAATTTCAAAACTCCTTTTGATTCTAATAAGATAAATCTAGATGGATAGTTACCGAAGGTTTAACGTGTTCATCTCTGACCTTACCTAGATGCTAAAATTTGTCATGTTATTAAATTTGAATATATTGTATTATGCCTCAGAATACAAGAATCAGCATATTCCACTTTAATACAGATAAGATTTGGAGTTCCATAAAAAGATTTTATTCTATATGAATTCCAACTGGTTATCCTAAACTTATTTTTTAATGAATGATTTGAATTAAATGCTTAGAGCTTATCTATGTAGAAAGATAATAGTAGAGTTCTATAGGATTACTTTTCTTGTTGCCCAAACTGATGATTGTTCTTTATTTCTCCATGGCCCGGTTTTATTCTGTGTAGTAAACATTAGGAAGATTCAATCACTCTTTGCATCAGGAAACTAGTATTTCAAGTTTATAATGGCCTCATCTCCCCAGTAAACACTGGTAAGAGAATTGGATAGATTTGACCTCAATCTTTGCTCATAAAATGTGTTTACATGTTGGTCTGTTAGTTTGACATTTACTTTCAAATCCAAATCACCTCATACCTATTGCTTGAGTAAGCAACTTCTTGCCCAATTCTCGTAGGAATCCAACTATACTCCAAATGACTTCCCTTGGATGGCATTATCACTTCACCTGCCTCTTCATGCTTTATGGGGTCCGATGAAAGGATTTTAGTCTTCTTTGGTTATATCTTATATGAATGCCTTGTAGAGACCATGTCTCAAGGCCACACTAAAGTGGATAGAGAGTAGGGTATCCTCTGAAGAATGTAGACATCTGTACTGTTATTTATCCATACGAAAGTTATTTGCATCATACAGGAAGTTAGAATATGAACTTTTGGCATAAAAAAAAGAAAGAACTCTTACTTTTTCTTGACCTTAACTTTCTTGGGTTTAGATTCTAAGTAGAATGGGTAGGTAGGCAGGGGCTGGAGTTTGATGGTACCCACCACATAAATGCTGATCAGATGGGTATCTATGAATTGACTGTAGCTCATGTGAGTCCATATTTTATAAATCACAGTATCTGGAGAGAACTCTGCATTTTTAATCACACACGTTGAGTACCTCAGTGTTTATGTGTCAGAAGTCTGTGCATGGTTTAGCTGAGTCCTCTGCTTGGTCTTGCAAGGCTGCAGATGAAGGTGTTGGCCAAGTTACATTCTCATCTGGAGGCTGGTCTAGGAAAGAATCTGCTTTGAAGCTCATTTGGGCTGTTGGCAGAATTAATTTCCTGTGGCTATATGACTGAGATCCCTATTTTCTGACTGGCTTTCAGCCAGGACCTACTCTCATCTCCTAGATGCAACCCGGAGTCCCTGCCACGTCTCTCACATCATGGCAGCTTACTAATTCTTCCTCCTTTTCTTCTTTTTCCTCTTCTTCTCTTCCTCCTTCTCCTCCCCTTCTTCTTCCTCCTTCTTCCTTTTTCCTTTCTTATTCTTTAAAATAAAATCAGGGTCTTGCTCTATTGCCAGACTTTAGTGCAGTGGCATGATCATAGTTCTCTATAACCTTGAACTCCCGGGCTCAAGTGATCCTCCTGCTTCAGCCTCCCAAGGTGCTGGAATTACAGTTGTGAACTACCATGCCCAGCCAGCAACTTACTTCTTTAAAGTCAACAAGGGCATTTCTCTCATTCTAGTCTACTAAGATGGATCTTATATACTAGAATGTAATCATACCATTGGCATCTCATCACCTTTGCCATATGCTACTGTTTCAAAGCAAGTTAAAAGTCCTGTCTGCATTTGAGAGGTGGACAAAATGTGGGAGGAAACACCATGGGGCAGAGAGGTCATGGTTAATAACCACCATGTTATTCTATCAGTTCTCTTAATTCCTATTGATGAATTTTAGTTTCTTGTGGTTCATCTTAGTAGATAATTCCAGCAGGCTATTGGATGTGAGCCTAAAGCTTTGGGGATAGGTCAAATCAGGAGTCCCAGATGTAACCTTCAATATCATAAAGCTAATAGTAAGAATGAAAGAATAAAGGAAGATGTGGGTCAAATTTATACTCTATTGAGTATGGGATGGACTGGGGGAAGGCAAGTGTGAGATGATTTCAGGTGACCTAAATTTTATCCATTTATTATGTGGTGAGGGTTTTTGCCCAGACAAGTGGTTATGGGGTCAGATAGGGAAGACTGAAGTAAGTGCACCAATTATGGAAAGTCACCAAGAGAAAGGAAAAAAGAGTTGGCAAAGGAAAATTTAAAAAAGAATGTCATGCAGTTCTGGGGCCTAACTGAAGTTCAGGACATGAATTAATTACTATTAATGAATCATAGAAACTATGAGCAAGATTATTTTTCTCTAGCAGTGCCCAGAAGTTCTGGGAAGGGAGAGAGAAAATAGTTTGAGGGACTTTGAGAATTGTGGTTGTATTACTACAGCAAGGATGGGAGAACAGTTTTGCAAAAGGAATTAAGGATATTTGTGAGCAAACTATGGGTGATCAAGGTCTCTGAGAAGTAGAGAGTAAGTGAAGGGAGAGGTTCAGACAGAGAAAGCCAATCAAAACCTCCAGGAGGTCAAGATAGTGAAAATATGAGCAATGCAGAAGGATGCAGCTGTGCTGAAAGATTGTGATATTCGAGATCAAGATGTTTGATGGGGAATGATTCCAGATGAGAAAATCCCTGTGGGCAGCTTTAGTTTGAGGGTAACAGAAGTATCAGGGAAGTGAAACTTCAGAGTTGAGCAGGGCAAAGAAGTATGAGGCTTAATGCATGGTCTGTCTAAGGATAAAGAGGTCACCATAGTTTCATTTAAGTTATTGAAAGGACAAGAGACAGGACAAGACTTTGCCACTGTCTGAAGTAATGCTGAGATTAACCAGAGGCAGAAAAGATGGTGATAATGAAGAGTGATGAGCAGTATAGCTAGACGACATTTCCCACAAGAGAACAGGCACTTTTATTTTACTGTTGAGGCTTCTATCACAGAAGCATCACTGAAACAGGAGATCCAGCCCTGCCTCCACAGTAGTTGGTGGAACATGGGGCATGGGGCAAGAGCACCCACCATCCCAGGAAGCTGCAGACAAGGGAACACTATTGTGGGAAGAATGGGGGTTGTACTAAGACATGAAATGAGACATTTAAGGATGGAAGAGTGTTTATGTGGAAGATATGGCCCAGAGAAAGAGGAAAAATTTTAGAGGGAAAGTATGGCAAGAAGGAAGAAGAGAATAGCATAGATGAATTATTGGACTGAATGAAACTAAAGAGGTTATAATTGAATGATGGTAAATAATGCCAGTTTAAGCCCTGACTGTAACTTGGAATTATTGATTTTGGTGCATCTTCTTATTAGCTAGAAAATGCCTCAATATTCAAAGTGCCTTGGGTATCATACCTTTTGGAAATATCTGAAGATATCCTCCTGTTGCTTTTAAATATTTCTAGCAACTTGGGACACAACATTTTCTATTTAAAAGTCTATCATTTAACATTGTGGAGGAGAATCTTGAAAACAGCCTTATTTTTATTCCTTTGTGGGAATAAAAAAGAAATTATTTTTTTACTTCTGATATTCAAAAGTTTTACTGGAATGTCAACTATTATTTTTCAGGAAAATATATTACGTGCAAATTGAGTCTTATTTACTGTTCACTGTTTTTCTCATTTCATTTGGCATTGTATTTGCCTTTCTTTGTTGACTCTCTTCTAGAGAAGTGTATCAAGAAAAGTGCTTTCTTTATATCACTGATTCAATTTTCTACACTCTCAGTTTTCTCTTTCTGGCTTTGAATGCAAATGTAAATGTTTGCATTGCATTTTAGTTTCCAGTTGCTACTTGCTTACCTAATCTTTTTGTTATTTCTGTACACAGTTACATTTTTAATCATGGGTTGGTTATCCTATCTCCTGTCTAATTTCTTTTTGCTTCATTGAGTTCACTTTGTTTATTTTTGCTGAGAAGACAAAATAATCACAGTCACATTCCAACATTTAATGACTTTTCATTATAAATATTTTTAAAATTATGATTACCTGTGCATTGTGAGTGCCATATTCTTGTTTTTAAATTAAATTATTCTTAAAATAGTATTTTCTCTTTTTATTCTAACTTAAATGAGAAATGTTCCATCTAGTTTTAGGTTTATCAACAAATAGTGTAGGTGGTCTGTTCTTTGTTCTCTCTCCACATAGTCTGGAACTATTTGGATTCTTTCAGAACTTTACAGAGGTGAAATCATGGTTGCTATTAAAATTTTCAGTATTCATTGAATACTTTAAGTTTCTGAAAAATTGATGCATGACTTACTGTCTCTTATCTCTTTTCAATGAACTAGATAAAAATATCATTGCTAGATTATTTGAATTAATATGGATGTTTTCTTGCTAGAAGTAGAGAATAAAGAAAGACACAACATTAATTCATTTCTCTCTGGCTCATTTTAATATTCCTTTGTATCAGGAGATGCTATATTTTATGATCAAGGTTTCTTCTCCCATTACCTATGTTGCATTAGAGGAATTCATAATCCAAGAATGGATGTTGAAAGACAAATTCTGAAGATTGTGAAACAACGTAAGGAGATGACTCCAAGGTTGGGGTAGATACCTAGTCATCTTCCATTCTCTTTCTGACTGGCCTATGTTCTTTCTTAATGTTATCTATGGAAATACTTCCTGAGTTATAGCAGACCATGAACAATATTTAGGTTCCTAGTACTTTAGAATTTTCATGCCTTTTTGGCATTTAATAGGATTTTGGAGGTGGACAAATTGGGTCATGGGTAGTTAATTACAGCTTTAACATGAAAATTTGAGGAATTTATAATGGTGTGTATTAGTTATCTATAAGTGGGTGGCCAGAGAAAGACTTATGAGTCATCCATAAAGCTAGGATGGTTTTTAAATTTGTAAATTAAGACAAGAAGGCATAAAGAAATCCTAAAGGATGCCACATAGATTAGAGTAATGGAAGATAAGGAAGGAATAAATGAGCTCAAGAAAGAGTTATCAGGTGATATGGGGATGAGGAAAATGATTGTTCTGTGTAAAAACATGAAATTCTTGTAGAAGAAGTCAAGAGAGATGAACTCTTAGAAAGACACTTTAATTGTGGAATGGGCAGGACATTGACCACCTTCTAAGGGGAATTTCAAAAGAACGATATTGGTTGAATTGAATTGATCTTTCTTGCAATAGAAGACACATTGATTTAGGTGAATATCAATGATTTTATGTGTCATAATAGATAAGGTAGCATCAAGTGAGTGAAATGTACTAAAATGTTTGTTTTATTTACAACTGAACACAATGCTTTATTCCATGACATTCATAGAATCTTATTTTAAGTCATGGGAACCCATGCCTTAAAAAGACTTCAAAGTAATTTTGTAGTTTTGTTTGTTTGGTTGTTTGTTTTTGTTTTTAAGATAAAGTCTCACTCTGTTACCCAGACTGGAGTGCAGTGGCACAATCTTGGCTCACTGTAACTTCCACTTCCTGGTTCAAGCAATTCTCCTGTCTCAGCCTCCCAAGTATCTATGATTACAGGCACCTGCCACCACACCTGGCTAATTTTTGTATTTTTAGTGGAGATGGGATTTCACCATATTGGTCAGGCTGGTCTGAAACTCCTGACCTCAGGTGATCCACACACTTGGCTTCCCAAAGTGCTGAAATTACAGGCATGAGCCACCATGCCCAGTCAATTTCATAGTTTCATATGATATAATCTTAATCATATGCATATGTAAGCTGATTCGTATCAGATTTAAAACTCTAATTTACAGATGAAATTAGACAAGAAGTACTTTTGCATGTGTACATTATTTTTGATATGAGGTGACCTATATGTTTTGTCAAGTATATTTAATGATTTCATGGATTTGGTTTTTGCTCAATCTTGAAATCACTTTATTGGGCTTTTATATACCTTTTATTTTAACAGAATCCAAAGGTACAAGACGGGATTTCAGAAGCTATGATAAACCCTGGCAATTAAATGCAAAGAAGCCTAAAAAATCAAAAAGTGACCTTGCTGTGTCTAATATTTCTCCACCATCACTGGACTCCAAATCATGTAAGGAAGTTTCTTGTTCAAATGCTAGTCAAAGTATGTAAGTTTATGTTGTTAAGAAAATGAAGAAAATGTAGTAATTGAAGCTCAGTTTTTCATCTGATATTTCTGGCCTTTAATCCTAGTGAATTTCACTTTTACTCCACATTAACATTGATCTTTATTTATGTGTGTCTACTCACTAATATTCTCAAACACGTGTAATTCACTTAGACCTTTTTGAGTGTAATGTTACATGAAGAATATATACTGTGTGGAGATGGTCTCTTGCCTCTAAGAGTTGATTGTAGCATTATACCATATTGAAAGCAGTACCTACCTATATATAATGAAGTATATAAAAGCAAATTAAATTTCTTAGAGTAAAAGCAAATAAGATTTCTATTCAAAACATTTAATAAACTTTTTAAAATATTTCATCTGGGATTTTCCTGAAGTCCTACTCATTAATTTCTGTGTAAAAACATGAAATTCTTTAAAAAAAAAAAAAGTCAAGAAGGATGAACTCTTGGAAAGACCCTTTAATTGTCGAATGGGCAGGACATTGACTACCTTCTAAGGAGAATTTCAAAGTAACAATTTTGTTGGTTGAATTGAATTGATCATTCAGTTCAATTGAGAATCAATATATATTTATTCTCTTCCCTACTATTTTAATGTCTTTGTTTTTATGTTACTATAAAGGAATGACTTAGGCTAGGAATTTTATATGGAAAAGAGATTTATTTGGCTTATGGTTCTGCAGGCTGCACAAGAAGTACAGCACTAACATCTGTTTCTTGTGAAAATTGCAGGAAGCTTCCACTCATGGCAGAAGGTGAAGGGGAGCAGGCATCATATAGTGAGAGGAAGGAGCAAGAGAGATGGGAGGGAGGTGCCAGGCTCTTTTTAACAATCAGATTTTGTAAGAATTAACAGAGTGGGAAATTACTCCTTACCACGAGGACAACACCAAGCCATTCATGAGATATTGGCCCCCCATGACCCAAACACCTTCTACCAGGCCCCACCTCCAATATTGGTGCTCAAATTTACCATGTGATTTGGAGAGGACAAATATCCAAGCTATACCACCTAAATATCGCTTCCCTCTCAATGTCCCACTGCTTTAGTAGCTGCTGGGATTCTCCAGTGCTCTGCTACCCCCACATGTATAAACATGTCAAAAATCTCTGGAGCTTCTAGCAAATCACAGCTATTCTTGGAAGAAAAGAGAGCTTGCAAGCTGTTCTTATACATCAATTCCTTGTGCTTGTTACAGGGTGAGATATTTGATTTTAGTTTCAACAGAGAAAGGAGTAGGCAGAAAATATTTATCTTTGTTTGAAAATGTTTGAAAAACCACTATGTGCTAACTGGAATCTGCATCTGGGTCATTTGTGAAAGCAACTAAATTTAACTTTGTGAGTAGCTTCATTTACATAGTGGTACTCATAAAAAGTATTTCATTAACAACACCTAGTTCATCTGAAAATTATATGAAGTGTTAACAACTTCGAATGTTCTTTAGAAATTATGATCGTAACCAAATTGTCCTGCTTCACCAGTTTGGTATATAAATTAGGTCCCAACATTTTAAAAAATATATGTTAAAAATTTGCATGTCTTTTTTTACAACAGTACATCCAGTAATATCCAACACAGTGCCTATTTCAATTAATAAATGCTAAATGATAAAAATGAATCAAGGAAGATATAAAAATGAATAAAGTCTCAGTCTTCCTTTTCATAATGGATCCTACCTGTCATTTCACTCTCATTCTCTTCCAATGATAAGTTCAAAATCCTTAGGAGATTACTAAATTATAGAATCAGTTCTGGATGCCAAAAGGCCTGCTCATTGTAGAGGTCCTGTGCTCTTTATAGGATGCTATCTTGTCACAGGGTATTACTGGTAGTCTGATGTCTTGACTATATTGCTTTTTACTCAGGTAATCTACTCCCAACCTCTAGTTTCACTAGACTGTTACCAAGCTTTTTAAAGCAAAAATAATAATGAAGTAGCATGTTTTTTTTTAAATAGCATATGTAGAATTAATATATATGACAATAAGAATACAGTAGATTTAGGGTTATTCATTGGAAAAGTATTGTTAAATTATTTTTGAGGTAATAAAATATCTTTGTACATAAATCATGATGAGTTAAAGATGTGTTTTTCATCTCTACAGCATCACTAAAAACTAGCACAAAATGCTTAAATTAAAAATTAGCAGATACATTAGAATGGGATGTGAAAAAAATTGTTCATCTTCCCAAAACAAAAGCAGGAGAAAAGTAACAGAGAAACAAAGAAAGGATTGGAAAAGTAGAAATTGGACACTAATATTGTAAGTCAAAATACAGATGTGCACACAATTATAATAAATGTAAATGTATTAAACATTCTAATTAAATCAAATATTGTCAGACTGAATAAAGAGTATAGATTTGTTAAAATGTAAGAAACATATTTTAAATCTGCAGATACAAACAGTTTGAAACTCTAACAAAAAGAAGCCTATATGGCTAAAGTAGTATCAAACCAAATAAAAATTCAAGATAAAGGGTATTACCAGAGATAAAGAGACTGTATCATAATTATAAAAGGTTTTTTGATCAAGAAGGCATAATAATACTAAAGGGTTATGTACCCAATAACAAAAGTTCTCAATATATGATACAAAAATTTATAGACCTAAAGGAAGACATAAACAGAATAAATGGACTGAAAAATATGGAAGATTTGAATAGGACTATCAACTAATTGACCTAATTGACATTGATAAACACTATGCTCAACAAAGTTAGTCACATGGAAAAACAAACAAACAAACATAACTTTGATCCCTACCTTAAATCATACCTGAAGAAAGGCAAAGAATTTTTAGAGATGTTCCAGTTACTATAGCTTATAACAAATCACACCAAGACTTTTTATTTTACATAAAACTAACATAAGATTAACTACTCTAAAATGAACAATTCAGTGGCATTCAGTACATTCACAATATTATGCTACCTAGTCCCTATCTAGTTTGAAAATATTTTCATCATCCCGAAAGGAAATCATATACCCATTCAGTAGTGACTCAATATTCCCACCTCCCACCAGGCCCTGGCAACCTGCTTTTTGTCTCTATGAATGTATCTATTCTGGGTACTGGCATAACTTAGAGATACTGTGGGTTCAGTTCCAGGCCATTGCAGTAAAGTGAATATCACAATGTCAGTCACACAATTTTTTTTTTGTTTCCTAGCACATAAAAAAGTTATATTTATACTCTACTGTAGTCTATTTAGTGTCCAACAGCATTATGTATAAGAAAACAATGTACACATTTTAAATAAAGATATTTTATTGCCAAAAAATTCTAACAATCATCTGAGCTTTTTATGAGTCATAACCATTTTGCTAGTGAAGAGTCTTGCCTTGATGTTGTAGGCTGCAGACTGATCAGGGTGGTAGCTACCGAAGGTGGAGGTGTCTGTGACAACTTCCTAAAATGAGTCAACAATGAAGTTTGCCAATGGACTAATGGAGTCAATGAACTCTTCTTTTCATGAAAAGGTTATTCATAGTACGTGATGCTATGTGGTAGCATTGTATGCAAAGTAGACTTCTTTCAAAATTGGTGTCAATCCTCTCAAACCCTGTCTCTGCTTTATCAACTAAGTTGATATAACATTTTAACAATGTTCACAACATCTTCACCTTGAGTAGATTCTATTTCAAGAAACCACTTTTTTCTACTCACCCGTAAGAACTCCTCAACCATTCAAGTTTTATCATGAGATTACAGCAATTCAGTCACATCCTCAGGTGCCGCTTCTATTTCTAGTTCTCTTGCTATTTCCACCCTATATTCAGTTACTTCCTTCACTGAAGTCTTGGACCTTTCAGAGTCATCCATGAAAGTTAGAATTAACTTCTTCCAAACTCCTATTTGTTGTTGTTGTTGTTGTTGTTGCTGTTGTTGTTGTTGTTGAAACAGAGTCTAGCTCTGTTGCCCAGGCTTGAGTGCGGTGGCGTAATCTAGGCTCATTGCAACCTCTGCCTCCTGGGTTCAAGTGATTCTCCTGCCTCCGCCTCCTAAGTATCTGGGACTACAGGCATGTGCCACCAAGCCTGGCTAATTTTTTGTATTTTTAGTAGAGATGGGGTTTCACCATGTTAGTCAGGATGGTCTTAATCTCCTGACCTTGTGATCCGTCCACCTCAGCCTCCCAAAGTGCTGTGATTATGGGTATGAGCCACTGCTCCCAGCCACAGACTCCTATTAATATAGATATTTTGATCTCCCCCATGAATCGTGAATGTTCTTAATGGCACCTAGAACGGTAAATCTTTTTAATGAAAATTTTCAAGTTACTTTGCTCCCAGATCCATCAGAGGAATCACTGTCTATGGCAGCTATACCCTTATGATATGTATTTCTTAAGTAATAAGACTTGAAAGTACAGATTACTTCTTGATTCATGGACTGAGAAATATATATTGTGTTTACAGACACGAAAATATTAGTCTCCTTGTACATTGCCATCAGCACTCTGCAGTGCGTTGTCAATAAGCAGTAACATTTTGAAAGGAACCTTTTCTTCTTAGCAGTAAATCTCAACATTGGGCTTAAAATGATCAGTAAACCATGCTGGAAACAGATGTACTGCCATCCTAGCTTTGCTATTTTATTTATAGAGCACAGACAGAGTAGATAATAGCACAATTCTTAAGGTTCCCAGGATTTTTGGAATGGTAATTAAGCATTGACTTCAACTTAAAGTCACCAGCTGTGTTAGGCCCTGACAAGAGAGTCAGCCTCTCCTTTGAAACTTTGAAGCCAAACACTGACTTCTCTCTAGCAATGAAAGTCCTAAATGGCATCTGCTTCCAGCATGAGACTGTTTTGTCTACATTGAAAATCTGTTGTTTAGTGTAGCCACTTTCATCAATTATCTTAGCTAGATCTTCTGGATCACTTGGTGTGTCTTCTCCATCAGCACTTGCTACTTCATCTTGCACTTTT